ATGCGAGAAGCGGATGACTCGTTGACTGCTCCGAAAGCGGGGTATTATTAATCAAAACGGCACAATTAAGAACGACTCGGCTCAAACAGGGGCGCTGCGCCCGTTCCACCCCAATGCCGAACAATGCGACCACAAGCCGGAACCGAACACGACAGTTGAGCGCGCGCGAGGCAAAGTGTTCCTCAACCTCAACAGTCAACACTATTAAACGAACATGTGCAACATTCGAGAAAGAGAAGCCGACAGGATGAATGACTTATTAAATGTATTACATCAATGCAATTCAATAGCTATTTATTCGATTAGAAATGAATCTCAAACTAATCAAACTATACTCGATGTATTTAATTTATTTTTGCAATTATTCGCGGGCTTTTTAATTAGCATATTCAATGCGTTTGGCAATAAAATTACGAATCAAAAACAAAGCTTCGTTTTCGATCGCTCGTAAGCAAATTAAAATTTGTGCGCGACGCAGTGTGCACGCTTAATTAACAAAAACGGCGCGCGAGTGTGACACTGCACTGACAATGCGAATAATTGAAAACAACACTAATAAAACAATCGATTTATTACTAATATTAAACAATCGCGCTCGGTGTGTGTGTCTGTGTATGGGTGCAATTTGCGCGAATGCAGTCAAAAGTCAATTCGTTTTTACGCTTCGGAAATTCGCACGAATTGACAGCCATGCGGCGAGTTCAATCCGTACTAATTAACAATATCAATTGGCATTAAACAACGAAACAACGTAATTTTAATTTAGCAACGTAATTAAATAAATTTAAATTCAAACTCTTTAAATTTGTGATTTTGTTGTGTTTAACACATGTGTTTATTACTTTAACATGTCACGGTATTAACTAGGGGTTGTTCGCACCCCAATGACAAAGGTATTACTACCAGTGATACAAGATTTTATTAAGTCCAGTGAACATGAATGGAATAATGAAGTTGTCACGCTGAAAAATAGTAACATGTGTGTTAACATGAGATTATCGCATGGTAATAGACCGTGGCTAAACGCATTAAAGCCGAGATAAAAATATAAATCTATATTCACCAAAAAAAACACTTGTCATTCCAGCGCCGTATGTCGGATTAAGAAATAAATGTTGAAGCAAAATAATCGTTTTATTATTCATCACGCTTCCAAGTTAGAAATGAGCATAAATGTTAAATGGGGAAGGAATGAAGGCAAATCGCGCGTTGTCTTGTCACATGTTCCACGTACTTGAGAATGAGAATGCATGGCGCAGAGAAATGTGGCAGATAAACGTGTCAAACGTACAATTAAGCCGGCATAAAGTCATGTTACGCTCCGCGTGGAACATCATTTTCGTAATTGATGTGTTTATATCATAACGTAATAAAAAATATTTGACAATACGCAAAAAATTTATATGATATAACTGCTATTGTTTTTTTGACGCTAGCGAAATGTGAAAATGTAAAAGCGTTGTTAAAATAAAGTCGAAATAAAGTAAGTAAACGAGGAAAGCGTTAATATTGCGCGGCGTGTTTTCCCTCGCCACTTTGTTAAATACACATTGCATACGAAATGTCCTACGTTTGTCGTCCCGCCGCTTCAACTCAAGCTCTCCTCCGAAAGCTTCAACTTCATTCAGTTCGCTCACGCTTGCCTCCCACTTCATCCGGCGCATTGAATTTGCAAAGCGTTGTTACACCTTGCTCGCCTCGCATTTCGTATCAGCGAAGAGACTAACTAGAGAGAGTTTGGACTCTGTGTTCGAAAGGGTGCCGGTTTCGGGAATGCTCATGTTTGCTCGCCGCGAAACAAGGAACAAGTGCCGCTTGCGCCTTCGATAAACGAACAAACGACGCGCGCGCAAGTGGCACGCAGAAATAAATGATGGTCGTGGTGGAATGCGTGCCGCGCAGGTTTTTCCGTCGAATTCGCCTCGCGCCTACTGAAGGGGCTAATCTACTGTATAAATACTCGAGGAATCTACTTTCGTGCGGGCGCAACGAGCAAACGAAAGATTATCCAAACAGAATAACACAAGGGAGGCACCATTCGCTCTTCCAGCGCGGAGAAAATACCAGAAAACTCCACTGAACATACGCATACTTTCATATAACGTGTAAAAATTAAAATTTCCAAAGAGTTTAATATTACACGTAATTTCACATTTCACATTTCTCATTTGAAATAACAATTCATATTTTTTCAAAGACAGTTAATAAAATTAAAAATTAATTTAATTAAAGGTAGGAAAACGCGCATTGTTAATTAGCGCTGAAAAGCAAATGCTTGACGTTTTCATCCGCGTCAATTCAAGGCTGCGCTCGCGTCTCGTATTAATTATCGAAAGCGAAACGCTGGAGACGAACGGACGAGCAGCACAAGAAAGCAGCCGGCGCCGCCGCGCTTTTGACTAATGAGGGTTGGCCGTTTCGGTCCGTTCATTATCCCTCGCATTCAATCCCGACAGGTTGTGCCAAACACTCCGCAGGCCATCCCGAAGACCCTCAACGCAATAATTTCAAGAACACACCGTATGCAAGTAAGAAGCTGCGGATTAAACAAATAGCAATGAATCACACTGAACACACATACAACACAAAAAAAAATTGTCCGAGTGAGCGGAGCGCGAAAAGATCATTCGTCATGAAATATTCTCGTTAATCATCTGTAATTAGCAGCGGACATGTCACATTGTCACATATTCAGTTACTTAATTTTCATTTCGGACCACATGAGCACGCAGAGCTCACAAAACTCAACATATTTATCGATGTGTTGTAACTTGTTACAAACCACCCTGGTAATATTCTAAAGAGGACTAACAGTAGCAGGTGTCCTCCCAGCCACCGAGACAAACCGTATAAACACGCTGGTTCATTATTAACTCGTATTTACCGAACGCGTCGATAACTTAAACGCTTCCCGGCCGGAGGGGTTGTCTCCGAGATGGTCGAGGGACGCGCATTGCACGCCGTTTAACACCAGTGGTGTATAAAACTGAGGACCGCTGCGCACGTATGAATGTGTAAAGAGCAAGCGCCCGCCGGTGGTACAAAGGGTCTCGCTCTTTTTTGCGATCCCCCAAATGCATGGGGATGGTGCATGTTTGACGAGTTTATTCACGCGAGCTCTTGAATAAACAGCCCCGATACGAACACGTATTGCTAATAAATAACACATGTTGTCTCCTCCAGCAAGTGGGTGGGTGGTGGTGGTGGTGTGTGCGTAAAACGTTCGGGTGGATGCACTGCGACGCAGGACAACAAATAAACACACAACGGCTTAGAAGAAGCTTGAAAGCTGACAATCCAAAGGGCGAAAAACAGGGGTGGTAATTGAAGGAAAACTCGCTTGTAGGGAGGGCTTTATGAACGCCAAGGATAAGATACAATAAGTGTATGAAAATATTTTCTTTCAAGATGATTTCATCGATGGTATTAAGTTGGAAAAAGTTAAAAACAGCTCAGGATTTTTTTGACCCGGTTGATTGGTATTTGTATAAGATAAGAAACAGTTTGCTGCTTTTGTAGCTGTGTGTATGGGTGTGCTGGTCGGCACATTGGGGCGCAATCAAAAATTGAGAAGATCTTCCGCTTGTTTTCCTCTCCTTTTTATATCGTCCGATCCCATCGCTTCCGCAATCACACAGTTTTTCACAATCTTCATTACAAATTGCCCAATTCTCTTTTTTCTCTGGGGCAGTCAAGTTTCTTTCGGTTTTCTCCCTCCAGCACGTTTAGAATCGTACAGGAAAAAAGGAAAAGAATAGAAGATGGTTGGAAATCTTTCGGTTTCACTTCGACCAGCAAACGTAGCAAAGTGTACCCAAAGATTTCCCGCTTGATTGTGCCGAAATCAACTTCTCGGGTCCGTCTCCAGCTCGAATGCGGTGATTTCCAATTTTCAACCGACCGCCGGATATTCAACCAGAACATATCAATACTAGGTGTTTCAAGTTAATACTTTTAAGCGAAAAATCAATCATATTATTTTTTTGTTGTGCAAGAATTTATGGGGGCGCAATTTGCGTCATTGTTTGTAAATAGAACAAAACGTGTCCTTTATTGAGAAGGGCCCGAGACAATTAAGCGTCATCCCGTATTCGGACGGCGTGCCGGTGTTTACAAGGTCTGATTGGATGTGCACGAGCCTACAGTTTCCGCGTTTTGACCTTTTGGTCCTTGCTAGCTCAACGAAACGTCCAAAAATGCAACGCACAAAAAACGTTTATTTTTTCAAAAAAATAAATTTTATATATTTACACGGAATTTATAAATGCAAACATGAGTTCAATACAAATGACAAAGATCAATTAATGAGGAAAGCTTAATCAAGTGCACAATAAGCAAATGTTAGTCGTGGAAAATGGAAATCACATCACGTTGAGCATTGCGCACTCGACGACAGGACACGAGTGTGTGCATTGTGCATGATTTGTTACATCGTTTCGGTAAACACCAATCACCCGTACCGAATAATAATATTTAAAGAACGCGCGCTGCCGCCGTACGGGGCCGCCCCTCTGGTTCGTGGCGCGCATTAGTAAGCGCAAACATGCAAAACACACGCTACGTGCACACGAAAATTACCAAATGACCAAAGCGCGGCGAGCGCGCATCGTAATGATCGACGGCGGCAGGCACGCATCAATTTTCCGAAGCAGACGAACCGTGAGAATGCCATGCAGCTCTGCATGCATGCCTACTACGCATTCGATTCGGCGAATTTGTCCACTGTGTTTCCCCGGCCGCGCTTTGTGCAAACGCAAACAAATTCGACGAGCGAAACGAAATCGCATTCGATGCGCACACCAGTTTATGCATGCAGAATGCGTCCACCGTTCCAGATAGATAACTAACAAGCGCAGATTGTTATTAGCGCTGCGCCGAAATTAACTATCCTAGGCCGACGTGACCTGCTGTAAATTAATCGTGTTTTTCCCAATTCGCAGCCAATTATTTCCATAACTAGCCATGATACCATTTATAACCAATGTTTTTGCGCTTTTCAGGTCTGGTTTCAAAACCGGCGAGCAAAATTTCGAAAGCAAGAGCGGCTCGCCCAACAAAAAGCAACAAACAACTCGAGCAACGATTCCAACGGTACGCAACAGCCGAACATCAAAGCGGAGGGCGGCAGCAACGGCGTGGGCAATCCGGGCGGCATCGGCGGGACGAACACCAACGTCAAGGGCGTCGTTAATCTGGGTGGTGGCGGCAACAAGGACGTCAAGCCCGGCTCCCCCAATTCCGGCATATCGACCACGCCAAACTCCAACACCAGTTCGACCTCCCATCATTCCTCCAATGGCGACATCAAGCCAATGAACGGTAATTATCGATGTATGAAAATATTTTTATTACAATTCCTTAGCTTTAATTCTACTAATAATAAAAACCGCGTAATTTTTAAACAAAAAAATGTTAAAAAAAAAAAACACCGTCACATATCCATTATTACATCATTGCTCGAAAGTAGGTGGGATGTAACCAGAACGGTAACAGTAAAGATAACGCTAAAAGTCCTTGCAAGAGAAAAACTAGAGCCGGAAAACCGTGTGGATCCTAAAAGGTCCTAACGCCAACGACAATGACACACACATACGGTGAGCGCACGTAAAACAAAGTGCGAGATGGTGGCAGCGGCGCGGGCAGCGAGTAATATGACATCAGATTGCTCGCCGCCCGCACCGGGTGTGCGCCGCGCGCGCCCCCGAGTCGAACTAAAGAGTTGACAGTAATGGAAATAAATGAGCGGTAGCGGGCAATTTTCTAGATTAAATGTCAGAGTGGCGTGGCGTTGCTGTCCTGCCGCCGCTGCGCCGCGAGGCCCTTCTCAAACTTCCCTCTCCGCCGCCCCCGCGAGCACAACGAACAATTTCCAATTGATACATACACACAAGCAGCGCGCAAAAGGACGAAAAGAAGCACAGGCAAACAGGCCTCATTTTTGTGCGCCTCGATAAACGCAGCCGGCAATAATATACCCACACACAACAAATACATTCACATGTATAGTGCAAAAGCTCAGATTCCAGTCGCGAGTTGAATTGAAAACGGAAACGGCAAACCGAAAATGAAAATGAAAAACGAGCTTCGGATTCTTTATATATATAGATAAAACCTGTGTTGGAGCGGATATGAAAATGTTGTGATGCTCACCAGCTGCTCACTCCTGCCGCCCCCTTCGCGCCACCACCGCCGACGTCGTTGCGAGAACGATTTATAACCCGAATATAAAAATAATATTGTCTGTTTCGATTCGTGCGGATATCGCTTTTTCGATGCGTGTGAGTGTGAATGTGTAGGGACGAATATTTGTCTCGGGATACTCCATAAAAGTTTCAGTCTATTCAGTCTATATGTTTTTGATATATTTCCGGATGGAATTTTCTTGTCGTTTTACGTATTGCCTGCGCAGCGATAATAAATTACACCGAATAAAAGTTTCGCTTTTTCCGGCACGCCAAATTGGCAAAATATAAACCGAGAAAAAACAAACAACAAATTCAACCCGTGTTTTTATTTGCAGGGAAATTATCAGATGATGCATTAATCTCCAACAACAACAAATGGTCGATGAGTCCCAACTCGTGCAACACTGCTCTACTGGTGCAGCAGGCGAACAAAGTGCTCTCGTCACAGCCCCCGCACCTACAGTCACACCATCATGGCACACACCACTCGGCAGCGGCGGCCGCGGCGGCGGCGCTTTCAGCCGCGCCGTTCACATCACTGCTGGGCGCCGGCGGCGGCGCCGCCTCCTACCTGCTCGGCGACCATCTCAAGCCGGCAGCCAATCATCTCTTTTAAAGCATTCAAACCCTCTTTTGCCGCCAGTATACAACGAGACCCGAGAGAAGAACCCAATTATTCCGTCATGAATCAATTGTTAATAAAAAATTAATTGCATTGAAATGAAGCCACACAAATTGTACATATTTATATACATACTTAGCGAATAGTTGACTGTACACAAATTATTGAAGAAAGAAAATCAGAAACTAAAACGCGAGTTAAAATTACAGATAAATGTATACTGACATAACTTAAGTATACGTCGATTTCTTTTGTTTTTCTACACGAGTAGAGCACTTATTCAAAGAGAATCGAAGCAAATGTAATACGAAAATGGAATTTATGTATACTATAAATAGTTTTATGATTTTTTTTATGATAGTAGATATTCAAACTTACAAAGAGCCAAAAAATAACGCTAAGCAAACGCGAATGAGAAACTGTAAATTTTGTACAAACGTATTAAGTGTTTATAAAAGATGATATATAGTGCGATGATGATGGATGAGCTAAGAAACGAAAGCATAACTAGGTTTTCTTACTATTATCATCTGCGTTAACATAATTACCTAGTGATATTATTTGTGAGTGTGGATCGTGATTACTAAAACACAAAATTTTGTCCATTAAAGTCCAGATGAAACAAATCAAAAGGAGGAACTTGAAAATTTATTGCAGTGAAAGCGTATGGTAAACAACAGTCCGATTTTATGAATTCTAGTCCAGTATTATTAAGATTTAATGAAATTAATGTAAATTTAAGATTTATCAGAAATAAACCATTAAAATATACCATTAAATGATTAGTATATTATTGACCTGTTGTGAAAAATTGGCTTGTTTACTAGCACGTAAATGATGTGTATATTTTCAAACTGTTGACGAAGGATGACAAAATAATCAACATTTTTGAAGATGCTGCCAACAATTTTAATTTTTATATGCTTGGCAAAGTAATTTTCCACTTAACCACGCATACTAATTAGTCATTATCATTCCTTTCAATTATTTTTAGATTTTTCTGAAAAAACTGACTAATTTGTAAAAATAAATATTTTGTCCTTATTTGTACATTTATCTGAGCGCCTAGTCAATTTAATATGTGTCGAGATGTTGCCTTGACTTGTTATTCCAAGCGGCATTCGGCATGCGAGTGTGTCATAATAATATTTTGAATAATCGACCAAAAATAGCTCTCCGAATGCTTTACGCTTTTCGCGAAAAATCCTCAAGCGTCCGAGGAAGCGTCGCAAGCTCGTCGGGATGACGAGGAGCGTTTACGCAAAACACGTAAAAATACGCACGTCCTTATCCCACGCGTGTGGGAGACCTTATACAGTTTTCGAAACTTGCGTGCCGTGCTTTTCGAACATTCTCGCCCGCTGGTGACGAGGAGATGCCGGTGGGGAGACGAACATGGACGCGTCAAATATTTATGCAAAAGTTATGGTATAAAAGCGTCGGAACACCGCCGTTGTGGTCAGTTTCAAGTGGAAGCTAGAGCAAAGTGCACTTTACTAGCAATCAGTAAAACTGTGATAAACTCACGTGTTTAATCCACTACAACCACACCACACAAAAAAAATGTCTCTGGAACGTGCTGTCCGCGCCAAGGTAAGAAAATTTTATTCAAAATTTGGGTAAAAGTGATTAAACATGAAAATTATTTAGATTGCTGGCAAACGCAATGCTGAACAAGACAAAGAAGCCCAGGAATGGATCGAAACCATCTTGGGAGCCAAGTTTCCCCCAGGCGAACTCTATGAGGATGTCATCCGTGACGGCACCGTCCTCTGCCAGCTGATGAACAAACTCGTACCCAACGCCATCCCCAAGATCAACACCAGCGGTGGTCAATTCAAGATGATGGAGAACATCAACAACTTCCAGCATGCGCTGAAGGCGTATGGAGTCAACGATGTTGATGTCTTCCAGACTGTTGACTTGTGGGAGAAGAAGGATATCGCTCAAGTGACAAACACCGTATTTGCTTTGGGCCGTCAGGTAAACAAATAACTACAATTCTTACTCAAAACTAAAATTAACTTGATTTCTAAAATTTTCTAGACTTACAAACACCCAGAATGGAACGGACCCTACCTTGGCCCCAAACCATCCGATGAAAACAAACGTGAATTCACCGAGGAGCAGATGAAGGCTGGCCAGACCATGATCGGTCTCCAAGCCGGTTCCAACAAGGGTGCCACCCAAGCTGGTCAAAACATGGGCGCCGGTCGCAAAATCTTGCTCGGCAAGTAAATCACGCGCCACCAGCCAACCAGACAACACATTTTTTATCACAACTTGTACACATAATTCTAACCACTAACTATTTATTACGAAATCTAATTTATTAACTAAGAGTTTATAAAAAAACGCAGGGTATGATAAAAAAAAAACCGCAAAAAATACTACACTACAACAAATTACGCAACCAAATACGAAACGATGTTGATGTATATTCTTGTATGAAATAAATGACTTACTATTTTTGTTTATAAAAACAAAAAGCGATTGTTTGCTCAACAAGTAACATGAAACAGACCCATAAAGCACCGAACATACATTTTCCACGCTTTGCTAAATCAGCGCACGCGTTTAAAAACGGTTTATATATTTTGGCATGCGATGTGTAATTACAAACGCGAAATTGCTGCAGGTGCGTTAAATTGGGACTCGTTCCATTTCGGGTTTCACATACAACAACGTATTAACAGTGTTGCGGGATTTGAGGTCGCGCGAATTTTCGGACACGTGGAGAGCGTGGAATATCACGATATGGGACATTACGGAATTATTATAAATACGCGAAATATAAAATATGCTCGACATGTGTCAGAATTTTTTGCGCGATAAAACATTAAAAGAGAATAATACTTTAACTTGAGAACAAGTTTATACTTAAAACCGAAAATTTCCAGAGTTTACTCGAATGTCCCAAAATAACTTATTTATTTATAGTTTTTGAAGAACTGCGTTTCGTTTATACTTCGCTGCGTTCCTGAACATTTTGATTGTTTTTTCGCTAGTTTGTATACATTTCAAGATCATTAGAAAATGTAGCTGAGTTTCAAGTTCACTCTCGGATGAAAATTAAGGATAACCAGATGTTGAAAAAAGAGAAAATATATAAAGTATTTAGACAGTGTGAAATTGTGAGCGAATAGTGTAGATGTGATGAGATATATTTAACTTTTTGACAAATTGCGATTATCTGCATGATGACTCATTCACTGCGACTAATGAGATTCCTAATGAATGAACAATTCCTGTAGTACGTACTCACTTGTGAGAAATGCCAAATAAACCAACGCGTATTTAAATATAAAGTTTCTAAAAATATTCCTAGCATTATTTAGGGTCTATAAAAATGTTAGCTGCATTCGCCATGCAATATTTCATTAAAAATTATATTACATCGTTGTTTTGAAGAATAGTCGTAAAATTTCATGTGCATATGGTGCAGATTTAGAGGACCTTGTCATCCCATATGCGCAATTCTAGTACAACTAAAAAGAAAGAAGAGAGGAGAACCAGAAGACCTGTGACTGGACTACTAGACGATAGCGCAGTGCATTTTACTTTTATACCTGCGTAGAACCCGCATAAAAGAGTGGGGGTAAAGTGCCCTGAGCTGGGGTTTGAATCATTCGACACAGATTCGTTTAGTACAAAAGAATACCTAGTCGCATGTCTAGTTCCTAGTTCTTAATATAGTAAGCAAAATGAGCTTTAATTTGATTTATTCTTGGCTATGCATATTACTGTAAAACATGATTTGTGTCTAGGAATGTTCCGCCTGTTGCCTGTTTTATACATTGTCTAATTTCGTTGGCAAAACAATCTGCATGTCATATTTAATTACTACATGCAACTTATTATTAAACTAACAAGCAGCAGTTATATTTGGGAGGTTCTAAGTTACAAAATCTGCAAAACACATTGTTTTTAAAAACATTATACTGAAAAAAAGCAGAAACAATAAAAAAATCTAAAATAAAAACTCACCGAAAATTATATCACATATATTGGGACCATTAATATAGAAACACATCTGAAACAAAAAAAAGTTTATTAAGTAAAATATGAAACTGTCATATTTAAAATTCTCAAAAATAAAATTCGTTTTTTGAACAACTAGCGCACTCCTGAGTTCAGCGCGCAAACCACTGCAATCCAGAATAAATCCCGCCCCTACACTTCTACATCCAGTTTTCTGTCCCTCTCATCCATTCCTATTTAAATACAACGCAACAGAAACCTGCTACTTTATCCTCAACTATTTAATTTTCAAAAAGCCAAATTTCAAATACTTGAATATTTCTACAATGCTAAAAATACTCCAACTTTTAAAAACTTAAAGCATCGAAACATAATCCAAAGCTATTTATACCTATGCATCGTTACATTTTCTTCGCGTGAGTATATTTTAAGCTCTTCACTTAAAATCGAACAAATATTACTTCAAACTTCAACGAATAGTAACACTTGTCATGACAACTATAAAAAGTAAAGAGCGGGGTCTGAAATATTTCCTAAAAAACAATTTTAATTGCATTAAAAAAATCTATTTTGCAAGCAGCAATCGCATCCAGGTGATTTATCCCATTGGAAACTCAATCCCGTGGCAGTCGTGATAATTTTTGGGTTCGCGCATCGCCGGCAAAGCGCGCGTAGGCGGTTTGTTCGACGATTTCAGCGTTTCTAAAATTATTTGATGAATAATGCGCCACGTTCGCACGATGCCGAATAACCCAAGCCGAGTATTATGAAACCGATTTTTCGAATATATTAATGTATAAAGTATCTAATAAACTTCACTTCAAGGAGACGCGTAATGTAAGATTTTACTTACTCGTATGCCAGCCGCATATATCATTAGTAAATAAATTCAAAACTCGAAATTAAACATATAAACTTTAAAAGACTATTTAATGACTAAATGGGGTAATAATTATTTTATCCTGTAACATGACCTCGAACTATCAATAACGAAAAGGAATTATTCATCCTGGAATGTGTTTTTCGTCAGAAATCACCCAGCGGGAAATTTTTTTTACTTTTGCACGCATTTTTGTTTATTTTACTATGTTGGAAAACATTGTTAATGTCTTCTATTTTATAACACGTAAACAGTGCTACTTAACTCACTCGTAGCTGAGTAATTTTAACAAAACAGAAAATTTGTGCACTGGATATAAATTAAATTAAGCGAGAAATGTCAAAATATAATCTGTACATTTTAAGAAATAATTGGGAAACTGTAATATTTTATAATGATGTGGACCAATGTTGTTTTTGTTTGTGTTGCATTTCATGTGCATATTGAGTTGCGCCGAGCACGCGAACGTTTTCAAGAGACAAATGCATATTGAGGACGGCTATTTAGGAATCTAATTATATGCACCTTTTCTTGACTCCCGGCCAAGCAGAAAAAGCGTCGCGATAGGAAGACTGACAGAGTGTGCCACCGACGACCGATAAACATAAATAAAACACTAAATTTCGATTAAAATCGATTTTTACACACAGAAATTAAATTAAACTAAATTAAAATCAATAATTCCTTATAACATATTTAAAAATAGCAATCAATTAACAAACTATTCATGAAATTATTCATCGTTGATATTATTCGGCCAATTTTAAGCCGTTAACGAATATTTAAACTCACGGCGTTGATGACTGACCGCTTGCCAGCGGAAAAACATTTTTCTAACATATCTATTCACATTCACAGCAAGTCTATAAAGAAATAGCATACTCGTATCTCAGCAACATATCGAAATGATTAATATCCTTTGATATAATTTGCGTGTAAAAATACCTCCGAAATTAAATAATATTAGCGTGTGACTAAAATTAAAAATGTTTCAATTTAATATGACTCAATCTTCCTCACAATGCTACAAATAGATTTTTATTTTCAATCATTTCATGTTTTCGTTCTATTTCTATTTGTGTCCTCCGCGAGAAGCATGAAAACGTAACGCGGAATGCAAAAAATTGTCGCTGATGAAACAAATAAATGAGTTCGGCATATTTTTTTCTGCAGAAACGACCATTTCAGGTAAGTTGGCACACCGCATATCGGCGTGACGCGGCGGACAGTCTTGATTTTTATTAATAGTGACCGAAGTGAGTGAAACCCTGCACTCGGCTCGTAATAACCATAAGATTCTCGAAAGGACGGCCAACAAATATGCCTGCAATAAAGGATAACACACGGTTCACGCGTCTGCGAAGAGTATTACGTTTAAAATATGCTTCTAATCTAGAAAAATAAAATAAAACTCGAATTTATACACCTAGTGTACCAATAATATCAAAAAATAAGATTTTGTTATGTTTTGCGAGAGCGTTGAGTTGTAGGTTACTTATCACTCAGGTTTTTAATATTTCACGACGGATTTTGCGAGAGGATGATTATGAATCTAAAATTAACGCGCAAACTACCGAAGCACTGAATCACCATCGAACTATGACTTCTAATTCGAGACGATAGCGAAAAGCACGGCGGCTTACGCGTTGGCGTAACAACACGCAAATGCCCGACTCACTTAGTTTTCGCGGATTAAAAATATCATTGTTCGTAATCGTCCATAGTTTATTACGTGGCGATTGTGGTGGCAATATTTATAATTCGATGCGATAATTTTCTATTTATACATCAACATATTTAAAAAAATAAAAAACTAAACGTTTTATTTGTTTTTATAAACTTTTATGCTTTTTTTCTTCTAAATTTAATTTAATGAAAACGGCTGTAATTAAAACACTGTCGTAAATGTCTACCTTACAATGAAAGAAAGCAATAAACACGCATGCCAGCGAAATTGCGAAAACTTTGTTGTTGAACACAACACGTTGCGAAAAAGAAAAACATCCCAACCGGCCGGCCGGCAAATAAAAAACAAAACTTGCTACATCCACAGGATTACTCTGCAGTTTTTTTTTATAACATAAACTCTTAATATATGATTGCTGATAAATAAGGTGACGGTGTATCGTGTTACCCAAAAAAAGCGCGATTTCATCTCGAAAAACCAAAACGACAACGGTGTGCATAAAGATATAGTACCCAGCAGCAGACAGCCGATACATGGGCGACGAAAATAGCCGGTGCGCTCACGTTTTCACGTTTTCTCATTTTCTTCTAGCACTTTTGGGCAGGCGGGCGCGAAGGACGAAGAAAACCGCGCGCAGGCGACAAAGAGAGAGTTGGAAGCCGGCTGGACGCGGCGGAAGGTGGGCCGTGGTGGAACACCTCATCTTGCCGCCCCACCAAATTCACGCGCGAGGGTCGTGTGCAAAAACTAGTGCATAGACTAGGAGCAACGCCGGCCTCAGGCACCTCATTCGAATAACGGTGACCAGTCAGTGACAGATACTAGTCAGCCGTTTTTATTTAGTTTTTTATTTGTTAAATATTTAACAAGAAGTGTGTGAAAACGCTTCGCCGAATTTAACGACCAGGTACGCATCTCAGCCATCCTCTGATTGCAAATAATTCATTGAAATAATCCCGCCGGCAGCGAAAAGAGCCGCAAAAAAAGAAAGTGTCAGTGCTTTAATCTTAATAGTGCTTCAGGAGAAAGAAAAAAGTCGAAAGAAATTGCCCGAGTGCTTCTAATCACAGTGCTTCAACCTCCAAAGTGCCGTTTTAAGAGCTTTTCACTAGCGCATTCTCAACATTAACAGCTACTTCCCCGTACGCATGGATTACAAGTGCTTAATTAACCCCTAAAAACCAACAAAAAGGCTTGCTAAGTAGACTTAACTGCAAAAAATTTGAAAATTTGGGAATTTATTGCGAAAATAATTGAAAATTTTGAAAAGTCCTGACACACTTGGATGAGTTTTGATTCGGGTTACCTGCCGAGGTCGTCAGCGTTGCGCTTCTCCAAATTTGGCGTGCGCGTACTTGGCAAGAATCCAAAGAGAAAGAGTCGGCTGCAAGTCGGCCGCGCGCTTTTTTCGGCACTCGCACGCATGCGATCTAAATTTAGCCGGCGATGTGCACGCGTTGTGTGCCTTACTATCGCGTATCACCATCGCAGCTTTGACTTTCCAAATCTATAATTCACTAACGCCGGCGCGGTACGCCGGTTATCCAACACTTAGTCGCCGCTTGCCCTCCGATTTGGACAAGCGCCAAGTGTGTAAGATCTTATTACATAAAATCTTCCAGTGCAAGGCACTAATAACATACCAGCTTCTTTTGATCATGTTATTCGAAAGAGTAAAACTTGCAAATATTTTCATTTAGGCCGTTCAAAGTAAACGAGAAACAGTCAAGATGCCTTTCAAGCCAGTTGAAAACCCAAAATGCCCCAAGTGCGAAAAGTCCGTCTACGCGGCCGAAGAGCGCGTTGCAGGCGGCTACAAATACCACAAGTCGTGCTTCAAGTGCGGTAAGTAACTACTCTTGATTATTATATTACTCACTCAACTCAGCGCGATTCCAAATTTAGATAGGTATTATTTAATTTATACTCGAAAAGGAAACGTGATTGTGCAATAAAACATCTGGAGTATTCATGGATAACCTTATAAGGATATTTTACTATGACTTAATTAATTTCTACAGGCATGTGCAGTAAAATGCTCGACTCGACCAACTGCGCCGAACACGAAAAGGAATTGTACTGCAAGAACTGCCACGCCCGCAAGTACGGACCCAAGGGCTACGGCTTCGGCGGCGGCGCGGGCTGCTTGAGCATGGACACCGGCTCCCACTTGGGCGGGTAAGTGTCGAAATGCGTTTCACTATCTCACAATCGACCTCTTAAAAATTAAAAATTAATCTCAATGATTCTAAACCGCGCGCCAAATACAAAAATCGTCTAAACTATCGGGCATAAAATCGAACAACAGATGATAGGCTGTTAATCAATCAGATTTGAGGGCTTTTCCTTATCACCCCCTTGTTGGTTCAATTTGCACCGAAGTCTAGTATCGCAAAACACCAAGAAAACACTAAAAAGCAAGCTAACACCTCTGATTACACGAAAGTAGCTGTAAAAATGAAGACGAAATCCGATCGATGATTTAAATGTTTAAAATGAGGAATATTTGCTTTGTTTTATTTTTGGCTTTATAATCAGATGTGTTATGCGCTTGCTTTCACTTCTCATTTGATTATGATTTTTATTTGAATATTTTTTGATTGCCTCCTTTGGAAGCCCAAATGTTTTTTGTTTGTTTTTTTCTTTCTTGTGTCCGTTTTTTCGTCTTCCGAGATTTGTCTTGTCTTCGACTCGTTTTTTTTTTGTTGATTCGTTGTCATAACTGTGAACATTTCAGTCTGTTGAGTTTGTGCATGTTGGTGACACTGTGTCCCTGTTTGTTGTTATAGCTCCTCGTAGGAAATCGACATCGGGGATGTTCAAATATAACAAAACTTCAAATTCGATCTAAATCTATCCAAAACACACACACATAGCAATTTGATGAGCAAAAAAGTGCGCACAAGATCGCAAAAACGGCTTGTTCATTCTCACACACAAAAAATGCTCTCCTTATTTATAAATTTAGCTTAAATTGCCTTGTTCGAACCCTTGCCCCTCGCTTTCCTAGAGACAAAACTTTTAGAATACAAACAAAAAAAACCTAACTTATTGAAGATGAAAATTTATTTTTGGTATGCTTTGATAAAACGAAATGAATTTGTATAAGATTTGATAATGAGTTTACCTGCACGCACACAGAACACACTGGATTTTGTTGTTTCCGACCAGTCCGCAGATTTTTCGTAACGTATTTTGTTACTCTGTAATAATTTATTATGTGTTGTTAGTTAAGTGTTTGTTGTCTTGTACGTTTAGCTTTTTTATAAGTTACGTTTGAATCTCAGTTTCACATTCACCACAGAACAGAAACAGCGTCAAAAATTATGTAAACGTTCACACCGATTGCTTAGGACAATAGATTTGTTATGATTAGCGCTTATATTCGGTTGAATTGAACAGAAAATTTTAAGAAACAAATTAATAAACATTGATGTCAAATCGACAACTGGCTGGATTTATTATTTCTCAAATATTAGCCGATAGAATGCCGAAAATAAGGGCAAGAGCAAACACTAATCGTGTTCGGTTTTAAAAATTTTTAATACGAAAAAAAAAATTGCTCTGATTTTCGAGCCATTTTGAAACTAATCCCGTCCTGATTCCTGCAACCAAAGGATTTAAAGTGAAAAAAACACAACAGAGACGCAAGAAACAGCACATAACTGCACAGAGAAAAAAAATTATAATTCGGACGAGAATTGATCGCAATCTTCACAAAACGCGGCCGGTTTTTTGGTGAGATAAAATTTTTGTCAATCTTTTCGTTCTTTGACAAAAAGAAAAACGCATGGCTTCTTCGTTTCGGTATTAATACGACTTTCATTGAATTAATCGATCTAACACACACCGATTGGGGGCACTTTACGCAACAAGTTTTTCTTGTACGTTGTGTAGTTGACAATTTTTTTGGCGAATAATCTCTGCAAATAACGAAACGCATACACGCATTAATCGATTAATCCCAGTAAAATTAAAGATTGATATAAACACTACGACTGCGAACGACGAATGATTTGATTAAGTGTTTTCCCTATTCGATCACCATGGGTGTGGGGGATAGGGAAGCTGCCCTCAAGTTTGAAACTATCTTTTCTCTCAGACATCTCTCATCTCTTTTAATGATACACATAATTTCGTTTTCGTAATGCATAATTGTGTTATAATTGCCATCCAATTACTTAACAATTTGTTTTTGTTATTATTTTGTATTACAACACTTGTAGAAACACACACAGAGCACCGTGGTTCATTGGCTTCCAGAAAGCATATTAAAGCTTCGCTTAGTTTTGTACAGACTCACTCTATTAGTTCGTAATAAGAATAAAAATTAACCCAACATGGTGTGTGACTTAACCACTCAAGTGGTTTGCTAACAATAAACTAAATATTCGATTTGTGTTTAGAGACCCGATCATGAACCGCGTGCCCTTGACGCCGCCGAAGGCCATGTCGAAGGCACCGGACGGTGAGGGCTGCCCCCGATGCGGCGGGTTCGTCTACGCCGCCGAGCAGATGTTGGCGCGAGGCAGGGTGAGTATCCGGCCGCACATGTTTGTTGCGTACACGTGAAGTGTCTCGTGGAGAGGTGATGATTAAACGCATCTATCGCATATAAATTAGGGATGGCACAGGCGATGCTTTAAGTGCAACAATTGCGATAGAACATTGGATTCGACGTCACATTGTGACGGCCCCGACGAGGAGGTGTATTGTCGAGGTATTCAACCAACACACTTTTCATGCGAGAGAGAGAGATAACTCACAATTTGTTATCACATCATCGTGTTTTGATTTTTGAATGCGATATCAAATTGTGCAATGATATTTACAAAGTGTGGTAATACTCAAAGATTCAACACTTTGTAAATGATCAGTTTTTTTTTTCCTTTTTGTCGACATTTTTGTCACCAAACCGAAACTTTTTTTGATTGGCAATGTTTTTGTTTTTAATTTGGGCATGGAATTTACTGTATGTACCTGTGTCGTCCGTGTACTCTACCAATTTAACGACAATCGACGACTAGCGCACCAATGTGTACATACACCATCAAACATGTTCGTTTTTGTCCTCCTTTTAAACTTGTATTAATTTCTGGTCTTGTGTATGTCTCTCCACCACACCACTGGATGCTCACATTTTTTTGATGTTTGTGTTTCTGTCCTCTTGTTCCAAGGCTTTCCACAAGTCTTGCTTCAAGTGCGCTGACTGTAAAAAGGGACTGGATTCCATTTTGTGTTGCGAAGGTCCTGACAAGGATATCTATTGCAAAGGTGTGTGTTTCTTTCGAATTAACCATTTAACCATCTGACTAAAACTGGTTTATTAAAATTACCAGGTTTTAGTTGTATGAACGGGTACCCTGTGTCAAATTTTTTCTGGTTGTACAAGTTTGTAAAATGGGTGCCCGTTCGGGGGTTAAAGAATTAATCATTGTTGGATAATTTAACATGCCCATTGTATGTCACCCATGATTTTGTCCGACTTTCCAATTTATAGTCTGCTATGGTAAGCGCTTCGGTCCCAAGGGCTACGGTTACGGCCAGGGCGGAGGCACCTTGCAGAGCGACTGTTACGCCGACTTGTACGTACCATTTCGTTCGTGTGGTTGACTGTCTGTTGTGATTTCTGGCGCTTCTCACGAGCTGTCTGTCCTCCTTTTAGCACTCTTGCGCGCACGCCTATTGTACATCGTGTGTTGTCAATCATACAATCTCGCACACGCACACACGCGCCTGAATTTGATGGTTTGCGGCTTCTGATGTGTGTTTCCCACTAGCTTGCTATGCGCAACGCTTTGGTCCCAGAGGCGTCGGACACGCCGGTGGCAATTTCCTTGGCTTGATGTCAGATGCCTCGGATATAGATGTGCAAAGGTACTGACACCCTCGCTTTCCTCCTTAAATAAGTCTCCAAAATGCAAAGCTAATTTATGATTGTGATATAGTTTATATGGGATTGTTGATTGTGCTTGTGTTTGTGCAGTGAGCAAGCTCCCAAGACGACCGTCATCGACACTGCCAAGATCAAGGCCCCACCCGGCCAAGGCTGCCCTCGCTGCGGCGGCGTAGTATTCGCCGCTGAGGAGGTGTTGGCCAAGGGCCGTCCTTGGCATCGCAAGTGTTTCAAGTGCAAGGACTGCACCAAGACTCTCGATTCGATCATCGCTTGCGATGGCCCCGACAAGGATGTCTACTGCAAGACCTGCTATGGCAAGAAGTGGGGCCCACACGGTTATGGTTTTGCTTGCGGCTCTGGATTCCTTCAAACCGACGGTTTGACGTAAGTTACAACCCTTTTCATCCTCTAAACCAGCTTTATTAATGATATATTTATAGTGAGGATCAAATTTCAAACGCACGACCCTTCTACAACCCCGACACGACCTCGATCAAAGCCCCTGAAGGGCAGGGCTGTCCCCGCTGCGGCGGCATGGTCTTCGCCGCCGAGCAACAGCTCGCCAAGGGCACAATGTGGCACAAGAAGTGCTTCAATTGCGCCGAATGCCATCGTCCACTCGACTCAATGCTGGCCTGCGATGGCCCCGACAAGGAAATCCATTGCCGCGCCTGTTATGGCAAACTTTTCGGCCCCAAGGGTTTCGGCTTCGGCCATACCCCCACTCTAGTATGCGCCGATGCCACCGCACCAGCACTGCACTCCGCCAGACCCAACTCCGGCCAGAAGGCACCAGAAGGCCAAGGATGCCGTCGTTGTGGCTACGCTGTCTACGCCGCTGAGCAAATGATCAGCAAGAACGGCGTGTGGCATAAGCGTTGCTTCGCCTGCTGTGAATGCAGCCGCAGTCTCGACTCTACCAACTTGAACGACGCACCCAACGGTGAGATCTACTGCCGAGGCTGCTACGCCAAATTCTACGGCCCGAAGGGTGTTGGTTTCGGCCTGGGCGCAGGCACACTGACGATGGCCTAAATCTCTCCAAACTTCTTTTATTTACTCGTCCAGCAATGATCCACTTCGCCTAACGCGCAATCATCGCTTGTCTATTCAACATCGTCATCCAAAACAACAACAAATCAACCCAAAAATACAACCTGACCAAAAACCATAAATGACAAGTAGGCGAGCTTGATTGTGTCATACCATAAGCGACTTGCTTGACTTTCTAGGCTTTTACTTAATTTATTTTTACTTTAGGGCTATTTTACCAAAATACTTTGTTAACGTGTGTGAGTGTAAATTTTTTGTACGACTCCTTTTTTGCGTAGATAAGACTTATCGATTAATTACTTGATTACTTACTTGTTTACATAATTATTCTTTGGAGAGTGTGAGGAAGGAAGGGTGCGCATTATTATTATGGGGTAGATATTTCAATGTTTTTCTGAAGACTCTAACATCAAGATTACGAACGAATCGCAAACTTAAAAAGAATGCAAAATTCATGATACTAAAACTATTAAACTACGAAATAATGACGAAAATCAAAGATGAATTTCGAACGTGTTCGATTACGCTGATTATGCTATTCTGTCACTGTACTTGTATAAATGTTATTCATGTATTATCAATCAATTATTAAAAAAGAACAACAAAATCTTTCCGTTTTTCTTTTTATTTTTGCTACTTATATCAGTATAAAATAGTTGCGGTGTGTGTTGGGTTGCCTACGTTAAATGCGTGTTGTAATACTCTTCGGTTTCATGTTTCCGTTCTTTCGCTGAATTCAATTGCAAAGTTTTACATGTTTTACGGGCTTCACCTCAACTTGGCTTTTAACTCGCGAGCGGGGGCCGATTGTGGTACGTACGCCAGTTGGTTTTCATTAAAACGAAACGCATCGCGGACGAAATTGTAATTAACTTCGGGGCTCGCGCACACGCGGGGTGCGTGTTTACCGCGTATAATTGCATTCGCTTTAATTCTCGACGTGCACGTAATCGCAATGTAGCAATGTTAAACGTATTACCTCTTATTACACCAGCGCATTTCGTAACGTAATGTAAATGCAAATTGTGGACGCGCATGAAAAATTGAAACAAAAGAACACGAAACCAGATGCATTGCTGCGCTGGAGTAGAAGCGAGTGCGCAAAAACTTCCAACTGTGGAGAATTAAGAAATTAACTTTGTTTTTTTATTAATTTCTCGCGTGCTGGACGTGCGTTTTGTTGCACCCTTTTAATAAAAGTGTAACTGCCCACGGGTTTCTCGAAGAAATAAAGCCAATGACCGAATTATTATGGTTTCGTCAAGTTAAAAACTGTTTACTGCAGTTTTATTTCGTCAATGTTTAGATGATTGACCTTGATATCATTATCAAAGACATCCACTTACCTCCTATAGCTGCTTGGGCAGGAATCATTGAAATGAATGCATACTAGGTACGTGGTATATTTATTTTCTTTGCAAGCCAACTCGTCGAACTGAAACAAACAAGTTTTTTAGATAAGAAACGTTTGTGGTGAGGGGGCAGCACCGTACAGACGCTTGCAAAAATGGTGACTTGCTTTTGTGCAATAAAATTAATCAACTGTTACAAATTATAACGATTTTAGTGGTTTAGACAATAATTTACAACAATATTCACATACCTCGTCAAGAACAACCCACAGTAGTTCACTGCACAATTATTTTAAAGTATTTGCACTAATTCGTGACATCTTTACACACAATTGTTACTCTTAACACGGCCGAAACTGGAGTAAACAATCTTTTAGTTTTTGTAGTGTGCAGATAAGTAGCGTTAGTGGTGAGGGGGCAGCACTGTGCAAACGCCAGTAAAATTCAAATATTCAAAATTCAAACTTTCGTTATTTTAATAGTTTGAGTAGTAATCCCACAAAACAATTTAATAAATATAACATTTATGTTAATTTAATAAGTAATTTAATTATTTCTAGCAGTGCAACCCGCATAAACAAAACAAAACAGCTAAAAATATTTTGATGTATTGTTGGTTGCCTTCAAAATTCATAGAATAATTTGTGAGCATTTTAAAACGTGATACCATAATGAAAGTCATAAAGATTGGTTTAATTTGAAACCGAAAGTGAGAGCCAGCGGCGGCGGCACAGTCGCGAATTGGTGGCAAATGTAAGTACGTGCAAGCGAGTGTTGTTGCGCCCGGCTTTAATTAAAATCGATGGTTCGACGATAATGTGGCCACGCTGCTGCCGACGCCACACACAACCCGCCCCCACGCTGCCTCCCGGCGGCGCGTGCATGCGAGCGCGGGAACGTGCTTCAATTAATATTTTAATTGGCCGGCAGCGCGCGTTATCGCGGATCGCCGTCGCGTTTACATTTCGCCATCTGGCCGAGCGCGAAAAAGCTGCCAAAGCCGCCACCGCGCCCTCCCCGCCGCCGTCGAACAATTCCGTGTGCGTTTTTGCGACTTCACGAATCGAAAGCGCGCTCGCTCGAACACATTCCATTCATTAATTCATCAGATTTATTAAAATCTAAAATTTCAATTTCAACCGCCGCCCCGCATACAAAGTTGTAGCTGAGTAAAACTTGTGCGCTGGGAAATTGAATATTTCGTTGTGTGCGTGCTAGTTACTACGACGGGTGGCAAACTTCTTGTTTTGTAGTTGTATAGTTCTTGATTATAAATGTTTGTTGTAGGATGGAGAAATCGAGAAGGCGAGCACGGTCCGAGGCCGGACACGAAGACGACGACGCCGTCGTCGAGGATGAGAGTTTGCGATCGGCCCGTCGCGCCGCCGTCATCAAGACAACAAGGACGTTTAATTAATTTAATTAAGCACGAAATTGGATTTCACGAACGGTGCCGACCATTAACGTTCACGTCTATAAACACGACGAGTACGAGGATGGAACGATGTTTTGATGCTTTCTCGTCTTTCCTTCATCTTCCAGCATTCTACACGATGCAATTGATGTTAACATTTACACACTGCATGTTCTAATTACTGCCTGAAACATAATTATTCATTATTTCATCAGAAAATTACAAAGAACGAAAAAGGTTATGGGTATGTTGGGTTGCATATATTTAGGCGCACTACACACACTAAACAAGCTATAATAGTCTATGTAACAATAAAAAACAAGATGATTTCTTCTTTTTTAGATGTTATTGGTCACTCCTGGTTGTTACCAGATGAAGTTGGACGAGTAGCACACCCCTAGGTAACATATGTTACGCAAAGTCATTACATTTTATGGACTATCCATTTTATATAGACACAATTCCTTCTTTTTTTCTGTTTTATGCCACGTGTGCGCCTAATTTATTACTGTTGTACAAATAGAAATATTAGAAAATATTAGATTCGGTAAAAAATGTTAAGCGTATTTGTAAAACGTGTGTTTTATTGTTCTTCTTGTCGAGTTATTCAAGTATCGATATCCTTGTGTTTCTTCACAAGGAATCTTTGCGTCGAGCGGCGTCGAAAGTTCGTTTATTGCGTGCACATAATCGATTTTACAGCACATTAAGCATTCTGTTCTGCTCTTCCTGCAAAAGAGAAGCGAGCGGCTTGGAGAAGAAAAGAAGGTGCTCGACATTTCGTCGCCACCCTTGGCGCAAGGACGTTTACATACGAAATTACCTTCAATCGTTTCGCGTTCAATCGTTTGCGATTTTATTCAATTGCCAATTGGGGGAAATTTCAATACTGTACGGAAATTAACTCTGATGTAAGAATTTTCCGTTCACAGCAAAAAAAAAACAGTTTCCAAACAGGAAGAAAAACACGCCGAATTCAATTCTTATAAATGCATAATGTGCAAAGTGAAATTTGAAATTTCAAAGATGGAAAACAATACCATTAGGCTATATCTGAATAACATGTTGCACGAACGTAAGCCAAACACATTCGGCCATAAAATGCCGCAAAACTCACAAATTATACAAGCGCGCCGCCGCCGACTGAAAGCCGCGCGCGAAAGGTGGCGGCGCGTTCACTTAGGAAAATCGACTCATACATATACGAATCGGAGAGTGAATAAAAGGTTCCGCCGCGTGCCAAAAACATCCATACTGCCACTGCCGCCGCCGCCGCCGCAGACGGAAACGGAAAGAAAACAGAAGTTGGCGCGGCGTGCGCGGTAGGCAATTTCCAGATAGGTTTTAAAATTTAAGTGGCGGCGGCTGCGAGCACACGCGCCGCGCGTTAAACAACTTCCAGCCGAGTCGTGGGGGCGGCGCGAGAGCAGCAACGAATTAAAGTGGAAAGTGGAGAGCGCGCGGAGCAAGAATAAAGACGGACGGCGATGGAGCAAAATGCACACACTACTACACTAGTATACTATGTCCTGGAAGTCTGCAAAATGTATTTAAGACTTACGGAAATAAGAAATATTGTATAACAAGTGCATAAAATACAAATTTGTGGTAAAAATTGAATTTTGAGGGTTTTATTGAATTTTTTTGTTTTTTGATGTTTTAAAAGAGATAATTTTACGCACTAGTGCTTAAAAATATATTTTTATTCATTTTTTTGAAAACTTTGGGTTTGTTTAAAAAAAATTTGTGGAAAAATACAATTTTTACAGGTTTTGTTTTAAATTTTTTGTTTTTTTTGCTTTAAAAAGTATAAATTTACACACTAGTGCTTAAAAGTGCATTTTTACACATTTTACTTATAAATTTTGCTTTAAGTCCTTTGCTTAAATAAAAATTTTAGGAAATTTATTATTTTTGTTTTTTATGTTTTAAAAAGTATAATTTTACGCCCTAGTGCTTAAAAGTATATTTTTACACATTTTGTTTTAACTTTTTGCTTAAAGTTCTCGTTTAAATAAATAAATGTTGTAAAATATTATTTTTACAGATTTTTGTTAATTTTTTTTGTTTTCTTGCTTTAAAAGAATATTTTTACGCACTAGTGCACAAAAGTGTATTTTTAGGCATTTTATGTTCATTTGAATAAAAATTAATGTTAAAAATATTACTTTTAAGCATTTTTTAACAAATTTTTTTATTTTATGATTTTAAAAGTATAATTTTTCACTCTAGTGCGTAAAAGTATCATTTTTTCACATTTTATTTTCACTCAAGATTTTATTTGTAGGCTCTTACCTTCCTAAGTAAGTCAGACAGTTCGGACACACATCACTTTTTGCGCCCTCGCCTTGAAGAGATGCCTCACGTAATCTTTAACACCGCCGCCCCCCCCCTGACGTGCGCCGGCGGCGTTTCATGTTTCATGATGTTTGGAGTGCGCGTTTGGTCACCCCACACGTAACTTATATATGTGCTACATGTCTCTTTACAAACACGAGCAAACCTGTGTAAAAACAGCGGTACCTACACTATGCAAATACAAAATGGTCGCAGTAGAAATAAAAACGGAAGACTTAGAAGGGTTGAAGACGTCACTTTAACTCAACGACTTTAGCACTCTGCCAAAAGATCTGAAAAAAGAAGCGCTTGCGTGCATCTCACAGCATCAAAGGGGCAGAAAGGTCAAAGCGCGCGTCATGTCTGGTGTCATTATCATACTTGAAATCGTCCTTAACACATGTAACATGCATCAGGACACCGAAGACACCACACGAAAGTTACACTCCTGTCGCGTTCCATCATCCGTCCCGAAAAGCTCCGGTGTAGTGGTGTAGTTTCTCGAGTTGAGATGTTCGGGTCCGTTCTCGTCCTGCGCGGAATGCAATATTAATCAGAGTGGAAGCAAACGACGAGAACACTGCATTAAGGTAATGGACATCTCGTGTGTGCCGGTCGTCCTCTCTTCCCTCGGCTTTCTTTGCTTGCTTTCAACCCGCTGCAAAGAAAAGAAAAGTACATTTCCACGGGGCGAATGTAAACACGGGCGGGCGCAGGCTGGCAGAAGAAAAAGACAGCGCGGCGCATTAAGACGGCAAAAAGCATTAATGCACTAATGCCGTTAGGAAATCAACTAACGTATGCAAATGACGCCCGCGCTTGACTGCAGCCGGCTTTTTCCGGACGATGATGGCAAACAGTTCTTTGTCGGATTGCGTCGCATTGTTGTTTGTAGACGCGCGAAAGCGCAGGGGCAAAAAGATACTTCCGGTGATATTAAATCTTAATTTCGAAAGCTTTTAGCTTAGTGTCTTAATATACACATAATTGCACTCTTCATATTTTTCTTAATGTTACGACACTAATGTAAAAATCTCGTCAAGAAAATTTTTGTTTTTCGAAGAAAAGGAAAAGTTTTTTGCATCAACCTAACCTAATCTAACCTAACTTAATCTTACATAACCTAACATCACAAAATCAAACCTAATCTATATTAGCTTAATCTAACCTAATTTAAGATGACATAACCTAACCTCACAAAACCAAACAGCTAACCTCATCTAACTTAATTTAATTTAGTTTTACTTAACCCAACTTAACTTAATCTAATCTAATTTAACCTAACTATATCTTACATAACCTAACCTGACATAACCTAATCTAATTTTACATAACTTAACCTAACTTAAGCAGATGTCACTTAATTTAACTAAACTTTGTCTAACCTATTTTAACCTAATCTAACCTAACTTAATGTTACATAATCTAACCTCACAAAACCAAACCTAACCCAATCTAACCTAACCTCATCAAATCTAATTTTACTTAACCTAACTTAACTTATTCTAACCTAATTTAACCAAACTTAACCTAACCAAATCTAACCTAATTTTACCCTGCTTAACCTAACTTAACCTAACTTTATTCATAACCTCTCTTAAAATAAATAATAGCAATTTATATGCAGTAAATTACTAGTTAATTAAACGAGCAATTATTCACCGTTTGTTTACAGTCATATTAAGACACCGCGTGAGTAATTAAAACTTAATTGTCAAGCGTATTAATTGTATTTTATTGGTTTATTATGATGGCGATGCCAAGACATTGCGATGCGCCGCACGACGCTGGCGATAAATTTGCATAAAACATGCGAGCGCACCGATATTGAAATATGTATCAAATCATCCAGTTATTTCGTGTAATTGACGTGCACGCGCGAGGTGTTTTTAATGAAACGCGGCGGCGTTTTAATTGGAATCGATTCGAATTTACCTACGAAACGCGAATATCGTACATTTTTATTACCGTCAAAGTTTATTCAATTAAAACGAGAAAATAAAAAAAGAGCTGTGACAGATTTATATTGCAGTAATATACAATATTCACATTTTATAATAATAATTTCTATAAATTATAAGGAAAATCATTTGCATTTTAATTGTTTGCGCGCGCAATTTATTGTAAACTCAGACGTAAATTAATAAATTAATGCGTTTATGCAAATCGGTGATTATAATTTAATTTATCAATTATGCGACAATGATTGCGAAAGTAATTAACGTAATTTCTTATTTAAAAAAATAACTAATTAAACTATTTAATATAAAATTTTCACTATGTTCGATACTTGTACGTCAACTCAAAGCATTGGCTCTTCAGCTTTTATTGCTTTTAATAGTATATTAAGTATCAAGTGGCTAAACAGGAACTTTACTCATGAGATTGATTGACAACGAGTGTAACAAGCATTTAATCAATCGAGTGTTTAACAACGTTTAGCCATGTGATGCTTACGCTATTTTTTCTACTTTCACTCTATTTTCACGTTGAGGTTTTTGTATTTTAAATCATTGAAATCATAGAAATGCGCATGCGTAAACTCCATCCCGCAAATAATGCTCGTAGATAATGGATATAACTCACGGCTTGGCCGTCCGTATATAATAACCGTGGAAAAACTGAAGCTTTATAGGTGAAAGTAAAAAAAAGTAATTTTTTGATATTATGAAAAGTTTTCGTAATTCCTGTGACGTAACAAGTAAATTTTATATGAAATTATGAAGAAAACATTAGAAGTCAAACATATTTAGAACACAAGAGGGAAAACACACGAAATGAATAAAAAATACGCAGCGCTTTCCCAAAAGTTGTCCCGTTTACCTTTTGGTCGCCTCCATGCCCTTTGTTTATGCATAAATAAACTTGACTTCCAAGCCTCTCCACTTATTTTTATTCCACATCCAGAAAACAACAAATTTCCCCGGATTAATTTTTCAAAACCCAACTTTTTGCGCGTTTTACGCTCTTCGTGTGTGTTTTTCCAGTTAAGTTAATGCGACATTGATGTATAAAACAATGACGCAGAAGCGGAAATAAAAATAAGTGTCGCATTCTTATTGTTATTGTTGTTTTTATTTTGTTTGGCTGGTTGTAGTGAAGAAAAACGCATTCGAGCCAATGATACATGAAGCATTGTCGATTATAGGAGCATATCTGCACATGGGACGATAAAACAATAAAAAAGTGAGGGCATGGGGAAGGCGTGTAAGGAAATGAAGTATGTATACTTTGGACAGTTCGGAGGAACGACACATTTGTGAGTTTCGGGCAATAAAAGTAATAAGAAAGCCATTCGAATAATGGAACTCGCGGGCGATAAACATTATTTTAATAAAGCTCGTTTATGGAAAGTTATCGCCGATAAAACTCGGCCAAACTCAAACGGAAAATTGTTTTCTTGTTTAGGATCATTTAATTTAATTGTTTTACGTTTTATATCAAACATAACACGCAGGAAACCATTTTAAACGTAGAATAACCAAATTTAAGATATGCAACCACAGGTACATTAAATTTAAAATTAATTTTTAAGTTAATAAAGCGATAAATTTAGTTTTTAAACTAATAAATTGACAAAACATAAGATAATTTATTGTTTTTTTAAAGAAAATTGGGAATATTTTACTTTTGAAAGCATAATAATAAAATTTTTGCGTTTTATATAAAGCATCACATGCACAAAACAACTTTAAAGCAACGCAACCTAATATTTTTGCTTTTTACTATATGCAACCCAAAATACAGCAATTTTAAAATTCATTTTCTAAGTCAAATAGACGATAAATTACGTTTTTAAGCCAATAAATTGACTAAATATAGGATATTTTTTGTAACTTTGAAAAATATTCACAATATTTTGCTTTTGAAAACCTAAAAAGAAAAAAAAAGAAAAAAGAACAATTTTAAAGCAACATAACCTAATATTTTTGCTTTTTACTATATGCAACCCAAAACACAGCAATTATAAAATTCATTTTCTAAGTCAAATAGACGGTAAATTTAAATTTTAAGCCTATCAATTGACAGAATATATAGATATATTATAATAATTATTAAGATTATTAGCAATATTTTGCTCCTTGACGAAGAAATAAGTGAAAAACTGAAGAATTGTAATGGAAAGTGCGCTGTTTGTGCTTTCTGCGTTCGGTGCGCGCGCGATTCGCGCTCCTCGCTTGCTGCGCGCTTTGCGCTTCGCCCCCACATTTCCTATCACCGACCGACGACAACACAACCAGTTCAGTTGACTGCAAGTCGTCGAGCAGTGCGGGCGTGCGCGAGCTTTCCTGCGTCCCAGCAGCTTACGCCAACAGACAACAAAGTCGCGTGTCGATCAAAACAACCAAATAAATCTCATAAAAAACAAAATATTCCTCAAAATACTCTATAAAACTATAAATAATAAGTGAAACTTGATAAAAAGTGTAAAACTTTGCGGATATAAACACAAGAAAACAACAAGTCTTAGAAACTAATTGTACAGATTCATAATTTGCAAGGTAAAAAAGTTTTTTCAATAAATAATACGCGTCTTGAATTGTCCTCGACGGATTTGTGCTCATACTTGTCTCGTCAGCCTCCTCGGAACTTTGCATCACAGACACACAATCCTAATTACGTTAGATTTCCGCCTTGCGGAGAGGAAAAACCGCGCCGCAATGGCACTGCGAAGTGAACAAAAGTGAATGGAAAATTCAAAAGGATTACGCTGCGAGCGGCGAAACAAAAAGTGAGTGAGAGCGGGCGCGTGCAAGCAGCGGGAAAGTTTTCGGCGTCGAAAAGGTAAGTGCTTTATATCCTGGCCGAGGGTGGAAGCGGGAGAGGCAAAGCGTGGCGGGTGTGTGTGTGTTTGTGCGGTGCCGGCATGCTTCGCACGCCGCCGCCGCCGCCGCACAATTGCTTTCGTTAATTAATAATTTTAATTAAATTCGACTAAACAATATTACATCCCTCGACGCCATTATGCACTGCGCGCATAGGGGCATTATGTGTGTAGGGGGGCGGTTGAGGGGCGGCGTGTCGAGCGTGTGCATGCACGAGGGCCCGTAGAGAGGCATCTCAGGCGCGGAACGGGAATGCGTCATTCGATTGTAAAATTAAATTGTGCGGTTTATGGGGAATTTAACTGGCTAGTAAGTTTGGTTGCGTTCGGGGATAATTTGTATCACATATTTTGAAAATTTAAAACAATTTTTTAGTTTTTATTAATAACTTTTAAACAAAACACGCTACGTTAATCATCTCTTCGCTATTCTCATCCACATTAAATCCCACAAATGAATTGCAAAAAAGAATCAGTCTAGCTCATTGTGTCGACGCGTAATTAATTAAAAACCGAAAAAATAAATAATCGTCGCAACTTATTTTTGTGAATTTTAATTAAATAATTTGCCTAATTAAGTTTGTAATGAGATGAAAAGCTTTCCAACTCACGTCCAAGTCTTATTTCAATTAGAAACAGAAAAAAAAAATTCACGCTCCAGCCGCAATCAACGAGTTAATTAACATCCTTTCGCAAATAAACTCATAATCTCGGCAACGGCAGCACAAATAAAACCAGCTTTAAAAAGTCGCGGTTAACGTCGGCGACACAACAATAACGCTAATCTGTTTAAATGTTAATGTAACTCGATACTGAAATTCAAATTCCATCATCACACACCGCAGCAGGTCGATCGATTTCAAAACGGTTTCATTATCTCCAACGAAAACAAAAACCAGTCGCCCCGCTCTCGTTGCATAAAATAACAATTAACGATTACGTTAATAAGTTGATTAACTCGCGCAGCCGTTAAACGAGAATTAATACGTCGCGTACGTGTTAATTGTGCGCTGGCGTCCGCGCCACATTTGCATTTTTCATTATCTTAACGACTTCATTTCGCTCTCTGTCTATATTTTAAATTTAATGCAACACGGCGAAATTAAAACGTCGCCGTGCTGAGGAGGAAAAATCGAAGAACAAGCAGCACACGAAAATGTAAGAATAATGCGAGATTTTAATGCTAATCTAATTAATATGCTAATGACTTAATTACTTTAATGCATTACTTCATTAAAGGCAGACGAGGCTATTTTTACATTTAAAATCCATTCACGGCGATGAGATGAAGATGTAAATAATTTATATGTAGGTATGTATATACATTAGGGTGTCCGTTATTTCCCAAAATGGATTTTATTTTTCAGACGCCCCCCAAACTTTTAGATTTTGACCTAAAAAAAAATATGAGACTCATTTCAGCCCTTAAAGTTGATATTAAACCGTGCCTAAATCATAATCCTTTTCCCATTTAAATAACATGGGATTTTTGCACTTTTTACAGTTATTGTTTTTTTATCGAAACAAATATAGCTAAAAATACCGCTGGAACATATTTTGTCGGAAATTTTACGCTCTACAAAAAAGGTCTGAATACTTTTTTCGATAAAATCAACCCTGTAAAAATTATTCAAAGATTAAGTCGCGTTGTCGATACGCGATTATTATAACGTAAACTCTAGTTTCGATCAATTGATTATAGGTGGCGCAGTTAGAATTTGCTGTAAATGAGATAAACTATGTGTATAACTTTAATCGCAAATAACTTTTACAGGAATGTTTTTAAGCAAAAAACCAAAGAGATCATTTTTGTAGAGGGTAAAATTTTGCATTAGAATATGTCTTTGTCGAAGCTGTAGGTTTATTTACTTTGGAGATAAAAAATTAAATGCAAAACGTCAGGAAATCCCATGTTATTTAAATGAGAAAAGGATTATGATTTAGGCACGGTTTAATATCAATTTTAAGGGCTGAAATGGGACTCATATTTTTTTTTAGGTCAAAATCTAAAAGTTTGGGGGGCGTCTGAAAAATAAAATCCATTTTGGGAAATAACGGACACCCTAATATACATAGTGTCACGTGACATAACCGTATCTGGAAATAATTCGTGATTTGACAGTGTGGAGGTTAACAAAGTTTAGGTTGACGTGCGCGTTGAGTAAATTCGCTTCGCATGAAGATGCCGCTGCTGATTGGCGATTATGCGCGTTGAATGCGCCTACCGAGTGCGCAACCCATCACACAATGGAAACAATGCTCTCTGTGTGTAATGAATGGTATTACTGACCGTTGTGATTAATATCCTTTAAAATACATTGAATTTTCACTTGATATTTTAATTATTTTATTAAATTCTCTTTAAAATATACTTAAAATTAATTTTTATTTGTTTTATTGACGTTTTCGGTTGTTTTTTGATGATTTTGATGCTTTGGTTGGGTTTTTAACAGACTGTATAGAAGATAATGACGCGGCGCGTTGTTGTCGGCGGCGGTAATGAGCTTTTCACGTCGCTGCAGCGTGTGCGGGCGCTTTCCTCATTAGCGCCGAAGCTTGCTCATCCCCCTGGCCGACGATACCACGTCCGGACGTGTAATGTGTAACGCGCGCCGAAACGAGGATGCGCGCTGGCCGAAGGATGCAGGACGCAGGACGAACACGCAGTCGATGTTGGCGGAAATGGCAAACAAGCGCTCGTTAGCTAACAACTATCAACTTTTTTATGAAATAATTACGTGCAAGGCGGAAAATTGCCAACGAAAACACACAAAAATAAAATTTATTCGATTTTTATTGGTATTAATAAATAGTTGGCTAATTAATATGAAAATTTAACTAATTATTTTCGAGGACGTTCAGCACACGACGCGTTTCAATTCTATTGATGGCAATTAACGTTTTTCTCTACGTATTGCCGGCGGCGGCGCAACTCGGGCGCAATAATTGAGTAATTAGCTTATGCAGACGAGCCAACTAACGAGTATTAAAGCAATAAATTAAAACCTTCGATTTTACGCGCTGCAGCAGTCGCCAATTTACGAAATTGCGGCACCACCCGCCCCCCATTATACTCGCACATATTTTTACGTTAGACTCGATTTTCTATTGCGGGCTAACCGCGTAACGTAACGCTTTTAAACATATTGGTTTTGTGAGGGTGGTGGTGGTGGTGGTAGTGATGGTGGTGGGTGTTGAGTTCTTGGTGAACGGCTGCACGACCGCCCCGACCGCCACCGCCACCATCGACGCAATCACCATTAATTGCCAATTAAACTTAATTAACTATTATTTTCCATCCTTTCGCGTCGCGTCCGCTGCGCAGTCATCCGGGGACGACTCGATGCGATTGCCAGCCGGGGCGAATAAAAGATATAAAAGGAATAAAAACAGACGCGCGTTTAATTGTTACGCCGCGGCCCCAGGGGGGTGGAAAAAAAATTGGATTAAAAAGTCGTTTGCTCATTGATTGATTGCATTCTAATTAGAAGTAATTACCGGATGCTGATATTTATCTCATTTCGAAGTAATCAAAATTGATGAACACCCGCGCATGCGCGCAAATAAAATTTATATGCAATTATAATTACACTGCATTAATAAAGTAATTAATGGAACTCACGTTCGGTTAACTACATTCCATTGCGTTCATTAATAAACATTTAAAAATGAATGTTTGAATAATGAAAAACACACACAACGTGCTGGAAGTGAATGATAAATTAATGGCACAAAACATAAATGAATAAACGAATATCATTAGTGTTCGGTCATCGTTCACTTGTAGGAGTTGTGTGCGCGTGTAATGACAGAAAGGTAAAGTTATTGCTTTTTTAATTACAAGAACGCTATCGCGGCGTAGTTAGAGATACAAATATGCGGGGTGGGCATTAATGGAAACTAATAGATCATTATTCGTTAATCAAATCATGAAAATCATTAATAACTAATAATTGACCGGACAAATGTATCGCATCAATAAATAACGAATTGACGGAATTACTGTAGAGCCCGATTAGGTCGATAGCAATAATTATTAATTAATTACTCGAAAAGTAATCAACAAACATTAATGATTTAAAAGTTTAATTGGGATTAAATTACGGATTTAATTATGTATAAAAGTTAGTGATTTTTCTATTTTATTCAAAGATACAGGTGATTTTGTTTGATTTTTAGAATTTTTTTACAAAATCAAATTTTAGTCTTTCATAACTTCATTTACCTATAACAAAGTGATAAATTTGATTAAGAAGTTTGATAAAGAATTTATTCCTGAATATATTTGTGAAAGAATTATTCTTTTATCGTTAATAGTTTTTAACGCGAAATTAACGCTGAAAAATTATCATTTATTTGTGTGATATTGTTCGGTTTTTATAGTTTTTTACTTAATCAAATTTTATTTCATCATAACTTTTTTAATAATAAAGTGATAAACTTGATTTTTTGCACTTTGATAAACAATATATTCTTGAATCTATTTGTGAAAGATTTATTCTTTTATCATTAATATTTTTTATGTTATCACAAAAAAATGATCATTTATTTGTGTGATTTTGTTAGATACCTATTTCTGAATTTTTACAAAATCTAACTTTATTTCATCATAACTTTATTTTATAATAAAGTGATATACCTACTTGATTTTTTGCCGTTTGATAAAGAAGTTATTCCTGAATATATTTGTGAAAAAATTATTCTCTTATCACTAATAATTTTTGAGTTATCACTGAAAATGTTACTTGTTTGTAATTTGTTTGCATGCTTTAAAAGTGGTTTAAAATTTGTAACAAGAAAACAAATTGGAAATGTAAATGTCAATTAAAATTAAACTCTCTGTGTGTTCCGCATGTGTGTGTAGTGCGTAACGGCATTCGACACGCCGTGTGTACTCACTCCAGTTGTAAGCGATCAGCATTTCAATTGCTCTCGCATTACGTACAACAGATTTCCTCTCACTGCATGCGTGGTGTTTGTTCGCGGTAAGTGCAAACGTCGCGGCGCTATTTTTGCCACCATTTGCATAATACCGAATGCACAACGTGCCTGCGATTGTACAGCTGGTTTTATAATCTGTCGTAAATGCAATATGTACCGATGCACAAGTGCAACATAACACAACTACAAAACTACATTATAATAATATTTATTTATTATTTTTCGAGTGAACGACTTTTGAATGATTTTAATTTAAAAGCTTATCTTATAGAAAATTTTCCGAGGATTCAGAATTTTCAATCCGTTTGTTTCTATCCCTTTTAGTTTTTGAGATATTGGGAATTTAAATAACAAAAATTTTCTGTTTATTTTTTTTTGTTTTGATCAATTATCGACTGATTAAATTTTAATAATTTGATGCGAAAAGCTTATCTTATAGGGAATTTTTCAACGATTCAGAATTTTCAATCCGGTCCATTCTATCGCTTTTAGTTTTTGAGATATTGGGAATTTAATAACGAAAAAGTTGAAGTTTTTCTCTTTGATTTTTTTCGTAATGATGAATTATCGACTCATAAAATTTTAATGATTTAATTTGAAAAGTTTATCTTATAGAGAATTTTCCGACAATTTAAACTTTTCAGTCGGTTTCTTTTTATTGTTTTTAGTATTCAAGATATTCGCGGTCCAAGTGTCGAAATTTTGCATAAACATTCTGGACACCAGAATAAATTCATAATAATTTAGGTTATAATGAAGATTATTGTTAATTAATTAAATAATTATTTATAAATAATTATATATTTTTAATAATATTGCAATTTTAAGAATTAAATCTATTTAATTATTGTGCTATGATTCTATTATGACACTGCTTGAAATAATTATTACGCACAGGTGTAATACCTTAATTAAACCGGCAGTGGCAATTCCTAATTAAATATTTTTAGATGCAGCCGAATGCGACGCCGGCGCATGCGAAGTTAATTTGTTTTTTCGTTGCTCGCTGTCGCTTACCAACCCGGCTAAGCCAGTCGGTAGCTAAATACCGTAGCAGCTAGCCTGCATTGTTATAAATTTAATTTAATTAGAATCGCAGTCGTAATTTAGTAATTGTCTAGTACTTACATATTCTAGTCTATCCTGGTCTATGAATACGCTCGCACGGGGCTCTCGACTAAAAATAACATTTAATTAACATTAGATGCAAACCAAGAAATTAAATTCATAAAATACTCGTAGATAACAAATAGTGAATCGTGAATCTTTTGTTTAAAATCGCTATTAATATTCAGACATAGAAATACCAAGATTAATTAAACAATTAACTAGGTATTAACAAAGTTATTAGCAATTAGCGGATTGGAATAACAATTGCCAGCCACAAATCGATTAATATAAATGTCATTGGGTAGAAAACATGCTAAACATTTACTATTTGTCGATAATAATGATTATCTAACCTCAAATGTGCATATTTGGGTATATTATTGCAATTAGGCAACACACAATACACGTAAATATTCTCTATTGAATAAACAATATGACATTAAATTTTAATACATTAATTATTAAAAATTTACAATATGTTTTGCGCAATTCCCCTAATTACTTTTAAAATATACACACGTTTATATTTTTAAATAATTAACCATCGAACAATAATTGACAATAAATACGTACGTATAGTTTAATTGGCTTCGTAATACAAAGCCCGCATGCGGCTGAATTTCGAAACGTACCATTATATAAATTACACGCGAATAATAACAAATAAATCGGTTATAGCTAATAACTAATTGGCGAGCCGAAGTAATTTATATGCAAATTAAATCGCTGATTTACGCACACATTCATTGGCGAGTTATAAAGCAAACGGTCTACGGTCGAAGGTGCAATTAGAAGTTGAATACAATGTAAACATAAAACACATCGCATTATACATTGTCGGTCGGGATCGGTGCGCGCAACGCAACGCAATCGAGGAAAATTGTTCGCCGGTGAGCGCGAGCCGTTTAACTGCAATTAATTTGCTGACTGACTGACGCTGCGCGAACGAAACTTCACGTCGATAATTAGCAATTCAACAATCTCGCGAGCGAATTTAATTAAAACTGGTTAATGTAAAGTGTTTGCGAACTGCATCGACTTCAATCCCAGCATAAATACAAACAGATTGATTAGAAAATCATTGATTTAAGGTTGGATTTAATAAAATATAGGATTTTACATGCATAAAATATTTAATAGCTTTTCTTATAAGGAATTTCTCACAGCTTAGGAATTTTCAATTTGTTTGTTTCTATTAATTTTAGTTTTTGAAATATTCGCAATTGAAATGTCGAAAAATTAGAATTTTGTGAAAGATATTTTTTTAATGCTCACCATAATTATTTTAGTCGATAAAATATAGTATTATAAATGCATATAATATGTAAATAGCTCATCTTATAGGCAATTTCCCGTAGATTAAGAATTTTCAATCCGTTTTTTCATATCGATTTTAGTTTACGAGATATTTGCAATTGAAATTCGAAAAATGAAAAAATCATGGAAAAGAATTTTTCTGGTGAATATAATTATTTTGGTGGATAAAATATAGTATTATAAATGTATATAAATATAGCTTATCTCATAGGAAATTTCCCGTAGATTCAGAATTTTCAATCCGTTTGTCTCTATCGCTTTTAGTTCACAAGATATTCGCAATTAAATAATCTAAAAATAAGAAAATCATTGAAAATATGCGATTTTTTTGGTTATTTTAATAAAATCCAACAGATATCTTTGGAAATCTTCGATTTAACATTGAATAAAATAAAATCGAGTATTTTACACGCATATAATATTTTTTTCTCTTGTTGTTGTGCTCGCATCTTAAATATTTCTTAATTGATTTTATTCCTTTCTTAGCAAGATTCCTTATTTGATTCCGACGCCGATTCTTATAATTCTTTCGCGTCCCTATTTTTATCACTCGCTTTGGTGAATATTGGAATGGCGAAATTGCGTCCGCCCGGCGACCAATTTCTTTAATATCGGCAGTACTCTAATATCTAAGTACGTATATTACGTATGTAAAAGCGCGTCCGGGCACGGGGAGAAATGAGAATAATGGCATTTATTACATTACGAGCGGTCGCATTGTCCGAAAATGCAATTTATCGCGTGCCCGGCCCGCCGCATTGTTAGTTGTGCTTCGTAATGCATTTTATTGAGCGTTTTCATTGCGTTTTTCGATTGGATTTTTATTGTTTAAGCTGCGCAGCTACCCACCCAACGCACTGTTACTTCAATATTGCATTCCATTCATGCACTCATCCATCGTTTTGTTTGTTATGCATTTCAAGAAATCACTTGTTCGATTTTGCACTCGAAAAAATCCATTTTCATACAATTACTCATTGAAAATGATTAAAAACCCGTTAAAAATCACATTAATGTCCATCATAAATCATCCGCCTCATCCTCCCATCATCCAACATCTGCGCATCAGTGCCTTAAATCGCTTTAAACAGCCTTAAACGCTTCATCTGTATCCAATTTAAATTCGTTATTAAACTCTTTGAGTCTCTGACGTTAAGTTAAATTCGTTCTACTCGCCTTCACATCGTGCTTACCATCATTGATATTCTAATAGTGGTGTCTCATTGGAAATTCCAATTATTAGCCATCGCACGCCGTTAACGAACATATGGGTTCGTTAAATAACGACACATCGACGCGACGTAAAACAAAAGCGAGAGAAATCCGTGAGTGGATGGCAGACGAGGAGCGACGGCGATGAGATTATTATGCATGAATCAAAATCAAATGCTAACTAAACCCAACTTGGCTTCAATCTTCTCATCTACATCTATATCCCCCCCGCAACACATATGCATATAAATAGTGAACGCGTCGAACATGAATAGTGTTAATATTAATAATGTGTTCGCGTCTCCGTCGTTAAATTAGATATTAAGCTGAGTCACATTAATATACAGCGTGTTTTGGAAATTTATTATTTATGTCACTATAACTTTTAATGTCTCAACCGATTTGATTAATTTTTTCAAAATTTATTTGTTATTAAACTGCGGTGATTTTAAACTTTAAACCACAAAAAAATTTTGGAGAGATTTCAAGAAAAATTGAAACATTTAAAAATTTATAATTTTACTTATAACCCAAGACTGGCTATGAAATAAGGTTATGTCAGTTATTGGCAGTTAGTTTATCATATGATTAACTAATGAATTTTTACTTGAACATAGTGTATATTTATAATTGCATATATTTTACGTGTAATAATGCCTCTTAAGAGTTAGAGACGTAAATATATACATTACCAACGTGTGGGTGTGATTGCGCGCATGTGTGTGTGTGTGCAATAACGAGGTGCTGTGTAACGAGGAGTGTTTTGAAACTCATCACGGAAATATAATTAAATCGCGCGCGAGGCCCCGCCGCCGCACGCCTCCTCCTTCCGCCGTCGCGCGCGTCGCGTTTTCCGTCTTATTTGCATATTAATGTAATAATCTCGCACACATTGACCGACGGACGCATATGCTGTGAGCGATAAACAATGTGTTCTAATTTTATTTTCATTTTTTCTTCTCAAAAAATTAATTGCTATTCAACTTTATATACACACTTCGTACTAAATGTATAATTGGTTGCCTAGTGTCACTTAATGACATTTTTCTGAGTGTTGAATGTTAATTTTAATTAAAACGTCTGCAAAAACATGTAATCAAGTATTAATTATAATTAAAATGTGTTTTTCGATGTTTTTCTTCTTGTGTTCCCATTCTTTTTGCGTTTTTTGTGCGCACGTTGAAAACATATTAATTCCCACTTCAATGGCCGGCGGCGATGGCGGCTGAAAGCCTCTGACGTCTCGAGTAATAACGATTTTTTGTGCTTTTATTACCCGCGGAATTTGTTTTCATTTTCAAGTGTTGCTTGCGCGCTCGCTCGCAATTTAATTTCGTAAATTGTTGATATAATTTACCGAACAATAAGCTCTCTTTCGCGCACGTTCGTCGGCTGGCTTCGGCGGCGCAGTAATTAACTTTTAACGCGCACGCCGCTCAAGCGCTCCATAGCTGCCGGCTAGTAGCGAGCCACCCCCGCACCACTTCTCCATTGCACGCGCACACGTCGTCAGTAATTGTAATTCATAAATCAAATTGCATAAAAACGCACCACGAAGGAAAAACGTTTCGTTCATTGCTTATTACACGCCCGTACGAATTTCCACCACGCTACGTAAAAACACAACAAAAAAGCAGCACAACGCGAAAATTAAATAAAAACTAAGAGGGCACTTTCGACAATGTGTTGCTGAAATTTCAGCGCGAGCCCCGAGCGCAAGCGGCGGCTTTAAATAACATTTATGATGTTACGGCCCTAATGGCGCCCGCTTCATGCTGAATTACAACTGACGAACGCGCGCGCTCGTAGATTATATCCGCGTTTTACATCCGTCGACTGTAAATTGCTCACATTAAAAAATCCGCCGCTAACAATTAATAATTGCATACAATATGTTCCGTTACTCGGTTTTTAGAAAATAAGTACCAGCGAAATATTTTATAGAATAAAAGTTAATTGGGTGCATAAAATGTTTAGTATGTTGTTGTATGTGCGGAAAATGCCGGATGAAAAGCGCGCGCTGTCGAAGAAGCGAAACGAGCGCACGTCGTGCACGAAAGGTTGAAAAGTCGTGGCGCGACGGCGCACGGGAAGTTGCGGAAATTGCGGTCCAGTTCAATTAAGATGGTCGCCAGTCCCGTGGGACTCAAGCAGACCGCTTCTCCACCTTTTACCACCCACTACTCGACTCCCAAACCGGCGTACGTCGGTCTTGTGTTTTACATTTTACAATTTTACATTCAACATTCAACATTCTCAATTCTATATTCTATATTCCACATCCGGTTTTGATCTTTTATTGCGTTTATTGCATGATTGCTTCGCTTACAAATTCCAGAAATACCATTTCGTCTCATAGTGTGCTTTAATAAAACATAACTTCTTCTAGAAAGTACTTTTTCGTGAAAATTTTGGTCTTTTTGTCGTTTTAGTTCAGGATCATCAAAAATCATTAAAATTATATGTTAAGCGTAACATAACCAACTTTATTGAGTAAGTTTCTACTTAAAAGTGAGGTTATATTACGGTTTCAATGAT